ATGTTGTGATGGATGAGGGGATTACATCGCTGAATATGTGTGCTGGCAATTAGGTGGTTCACCCAAAATGATACAACAATCTGTATTTAACTGAGAAAGTGTTGTCTCAAATATTACAGACGTTACATCTGACCACTTTCTAAATGCCATAGCGTATTTTACACTTTACCGTAACATATGCAAAGTCACAGAGAGACACGTGGTGCAATGTAATTCGCGAGACATTACCTACCAGGGTGACAGAACATTTGAACTGAGAATGTGTCTATTGTTCTACTGCACTCCCTGTGAGTCCCAAGGATCCCCAGTACGGTGGTCCAGCTGTGGTTGCTAATGGTCTTATTGCCCCTATTTTAATGGTATCTTTGTGTTAAACAGAATATGTTCATATTTGAAATAGTTAATTTTTAATCCTACAATGTGACATCTTTATAATATATAAATGCCCGGTATGACAGATATTTCACATATTTAACATAAATCATCTCGTCACTGAAATATTCCTGGTGTGACATAAACTTTTAAGAACAATTACTCGCCCTCTGCTGCACTCACATCAAAACAATAAAGAAGAGGAGGGGTAGCCTAGTGGTAAAGGCGTTCGGTCGTCACGCTGAGTATCCGGGTTCGATTCCCCACATGAGCACAATGTGTGAAGCAAATTTATGCTTGAACATTGCTAAAGGCGGTGTAAAACTGAACTCACTCACTCAAAATACTGACGTGGCTACCCAGTAATGTATATGCCCCGATGAGAGTAGACCCGATCCATGACACCTTAGTGATGTCATTCTCCACTTCCTCCATCAAAGGAATGTTAAATATTCCCGCTGAGTAAATGATGATTCCATGCCCGAGCTGAATACTCAGGGCTGCCCCCAGCGCTACGCAGGCGTACCCCCGATCAACGTCTCTTGTCGCCATATTTCTTGTGCACACAAGGCAGTAAACTCCTTGAATAATATTGACACAAAAGAAATGTATGTGCCGCCATGTGCACCCAGTAACTTGAGGATAAGTACAGGTGTCAGAGAGGATCGTGACTAGCGTACAGTTTATACAACACATGAATGTAACATGTTTTCATTTGTGCCTGCCAATGGTATGTGCTTCAGTAGAATGCTTAGTACCTTATCATTTAGATCTGCAGTTGTCCATGTCAATTACATTAGTTGTCTATGCGGTTGGATGAACACTGCCAACGGTTTCTCCTCACAATGCCCACTCATCATCAGAATGCTGTACTGTATTTCACCTTTTGCCAAGTACTCTTACGCAGCATACGACTATTTATTTATAAGTGTATGACCTTGAATGAAACGGGTATTTAATGAAATCTCTGACAGAAAGAACCAGTTTTCAATTTCTATGAATAGCAATATAGGGCACGCGATGACACGTTTTACATTAGACATGCAACCTGTAGAGTGAATACATTATTACGTCTATGGCGTTCTGCTGTCTATTGTGAATGCAGATAATCTGTTGAATTCTTATTGTTGTCAAATTCAATGGCATTAAGATTCATGGACTCATGTGATCCAGCTGCATGTGTTATTGATTGTGACGTCTCCAGACAACCACAGTCGTTAACGCTTCAAATCCTGACTGCAGTTCACTCAGGTGAGTGAATGAGTTTAGTTTTACGCCGCTTTGAGCAATATCCCAGAAATATCAGACACGGGACACCAGAATGGGCTTAACACATTGAACCCATGTGGGGAATCGAATCCGGGTCTTCGGCGTGACGAGCGAACGCTTTAACCACTGCCCTACCCCACCGCCCCAGTTTACTCAAGAAGTCGTGATAAACAGTTCTGCCACTCTGAAATCTCTCCTCACAAACTGGTTGATTACTTCGTGTAGTGACACGTGAAGATCCCAGTTAAATGCGGTCAGGGTGGCAAGACTCGCTGACTTGGTATCCCAGTTGCGAACACCGATGTTCATGCTGTTGATCACTGGATTGTCTGGTCCATACTCGATTATTTACAGACCACCGTTGTATAGCTGGGATATTGCTTAGGGCAGCGGTAAACAACAAGTAGGGAGTGAGTGAGTTAATATTTAACGTCACAGTAAACAACAAATTACTACAGCAGCAACTTCGCACTTGGAGACAGTGTACACATGTGTTGAAATATCGACTGAGCCAAAACATATCGCAGACAGAAAGAAGGGATAGCAATTGATACTGTAAATAACATCGGTTATAGTATAAACCTATGGGAACATTATGTGATATATAACATTCAATGCTGCTCAGTCACAATATGATAAAGGGTGTTTTGGTAGCTGTGTGGCTACAGCGTTTGCTTGTCATGCCAAAAGATCGGGTTTGATGCCTCTTTCTGGTGTTACACGCCATGATATTGTATAAATATTGTCATAGCGGCGCTAAACAACATACACTTTGATACTTGGTCAGTGTTCATTAATAACTTTTAAACAAGTTTTCAATGAACAGTGGTGTGTGTTTGTCAAGTTTGAGATTGGCATAACATGATTCTTATCTGTATGTTTCATTGCTACTTTATTGTATGCGAGACTTTATCTGCTGCCATTTGGTTGTTGCCAGTGGCCTACGGGCCGTACAAGGAAATTCTAGACATGTTCAATGGCTGAGTGCTGGCCATTGTGAGGTGGTTGTGTTCTCCTGGTGGAGGTACTAAGTAACAATAGTTGTCATGTGTGCTCTTGTGTTGTCATCCAGTGACACGTCCGTGTATGGCGTATAAAGGGCTTCTGGCATTCATGGTAAACTCATCCCACACCATTACTGAGCCACCACCACAACAATCGTTCTGTCAGCAGCATGAAAACGCTTATTCCGTCCACTCCACATTCCGTTGCGCCTGTCAATGAGGTCCAAAGTGAACATTGATTAATGTGCAAACATATCTTTACCCAACGACTATTGACCCAGAGCTGTCGGTCTTGACATCAACGATGTCTTGACGCCCTGTGATAATGACGGTCCGTCAATCGCGGGAGTAACTGAGTGAGTAAGTTTAGTTTTACGCCGCACTCAGCGGATAACACGTCGAGTGTACAGGTTTCATCTGTGTAGCGAATTACAAGTCACCTGTCCACTCTGACACCCGTAACAGTTGAAATATTCGTGTGCGCCAGTTTTCGCCTTTGTCAACCAGATCGACGTCTCTCGTCATTATCTGTCTGTGGATCGTAGCCTGTTAAGTACTGACGTAATGAGTTGCTCGCACCCTTACTCTGTCTCGTTGTTTTTTATTACCCAGATGTACTCCAACACTCTTGTCACTTTTCACTTGTCAAATTTTACCTCGACCATCACACACGTGCACATCATGACAAACAGTCGCATGAAATTCATAACACGTTGTGAATGGAATAAGTAATATTTTCTATCCATATACTGTCATGCGACTTGGTTTCCAAATAATACTTAAAAATGGAATATCTCCTACATTTTTAATATTTTATTTCTGGACTGAAACTATTACAAACTCTAAATGATCTTGGTTTCAGTTATGTATGGAATGTCTTGTCTTGTCCTGTATGATCTGAAGCAATGTTTCAACCGCTGTGAGTTGTCTTGTCCTGTATGATCTGAAGCAATGTTTCAACCGCTTTGAGCTGCCAATGTAGTAGTTACTGGCTATGCTAGCTAACGATATATTTTACAGGTCCTTCTGGGTAATTTTATACTCGTGTCCCCATCCTCGGCCATCACGCGTCGTATTTACGATGATGAGTACAATTACTTCTAACTGGACAAAGACTGTTGTTCTGTGATTCCTTACCGATTTAAAAATGATGATCTGTACGTACCCAGTTAATTTTCGGGGTCGCCGTTCTCGTTCCAACGTGGGAATCAACAGATAGCAATACATTCCCAAAACGACAGAAGGTTGACAGCGAGAATAATTGCCCGAATTGATCTTTTTATTCAAAATGCCATTACATCGTTCAAGCAAAACAGAATCTGTTTTCTCGGACATTCTATGGTGTTTGTCGTGTTTCTATTTTACTTTATATACAGAAATGGACAATTAGCATTCATCTTAACGCTTGATGTTACCAACAACAACTGCTCAAACAATTTCTGTTGTTTTGTTTGCTGTTTAACGCAGCACTTAGAGATATTCCAGCTATGTGATGGTGGTCTGTAATGATTAAGATAAACAGCGACATCAGCGCTGTTGGGATACGTTGACATAGAGATTTAGTTTGATAATAGGCTTAATATAAAGGAACAAAAGGAAATACGTACATATTATGCTTCAATATTACTTCGTGAAAACGTACACTGTTCCCTAAACCATTGAGTGTGGACCAGATAATCCAGTGATCAACAGCATGAACACAGATCTACACAGTTGGGTGGAATATGAACCCATGTATCAACCAGGTCAGCGAGCCCGAACACCCGATATCTAGCGTCGCCTTTTACGACAAGCATGGGCTGCTAAAGACACATTTTAACCAGGATCTCCACAGATACCTCACATAAAATGTGCAATGTATAGTCAAACCTCCAGTATCAATTTACATAAGTTTTTTTTATGCTGAACGTCAACACAACCTGCCATGACAAATGTCACAATATTCACAGCTGTGCATATCTATAAATAGAATACAAGTAGCAGTTCATATAGAAACCATTAGCGTATGCTCCGAGTTTAGGTCCAAAGCAAGGATTTCGACTTGAGAAATAGAGGATGGGTTCTTATTTTAATAATGTGAATACATGTCAGCTATGACCTGATTTAGAAATGGACTTCCGCAACTCATTCTAGTCGTAAGAAGTGAATAACGGGATAGGTTGTCGTAAGAAGCGAATAACGGGAAAGGTTGTGGTAAGAAGCGAATAACGGGAAAGGTTGTCGTAAGAAGCGAATAACGGGATTGGTTGTCAGGCTCGCTGACTTGGTTGATGCATGCTATCGTTTCCTAATCGCGTAGATCGATGCTCATGCTGTCGGTCACTGTATTGTCTGGTCCAGACTTGATTGTTTACATACCGTCGTCATAAAGCTGGAATATTGCTCTGTGCAATACAAACAGAACATGTTCAGTATATAATATGTCATTAAATCTACTCATTGATGCATATAAAGCCTAACCTAAACCTAATTGCAGCGTTCCATGGTAAATTATTGCAAGAGACAAGCCAAGTAGAAAAAATACAGATAATCACTGTCTTTTTTTAACACAAATTCCATCCATTTTCGCTGTAATAGGGGTACACTGTTTTCGGAGCAACATAATTTCCAGAAGCCCACGGTTTTTCAACTGCCCTCTTTCGTCGGGCAGTTATTGACGACCTAGGGCTTCTACTAATGATAATGCCCTGAAAAGCAGCGTTACCCCTATACAACTGAGCATTGTTTCACACTTTTCTTGATCTTCAGTCACAGAGTATGTTGTTTAAGTAGACACTTTGAAGGTTCTTTCAGAATTCTCTTCTCTTCCTACACACCGTTACTGCTGCTGTTGATATAGAACTCAACAGGAAACATATACCTGAAACACAATATACAGGTGAACATACATTTACAAAAATATTCACATTATACATCCTGTTTTGATTTTTGACTAGATGATACATGTGTTCAAACACAAGCCATAAACTCACTCACTCACTACTGCTGAGGTAGTGTTTTAACATGTGCGTCAGATGGCCATCCCAAGATGAACAAGTTACTTGGAGACCCTCAGCTGACACGCTATGACACTTGTATGGCAACAAATATGTCATTATGAATGAGATTTACTTATATATGGGGCGGTGGGGTAGCCTAATGTTTAAAGCATTGGCTCGTCACGCCGAAGACCCGGGTTCGAATCCCCACATGGACACAATGTGTGAAGCCCATTGCTGGTGTCCTCCGCCGTGATGTTGCTGGAATATTGCTAAAAGCGGCGTGAAACCAAACTCAGTCAGTCAGTCAGTTTTAGCATGTGTTTCATATGGCCATCCCAAGATGAACAAGTTACTAGAAGACCTTCAGCTGACACGCTATGACACTTGTATGGCAACACATACGTCTTTATGAATAAGATTTACTTATATATAATTTCTCCAGAGTTGTCCTTGACATACAAATGTATTTGCTTGACGCAGTCATGCATCAACCGTTGCTGTGACGGGTGATGACGTGATGCTTTACTCTTATTCTGTCCCTGTTGTCTTGCAACGGGTATGCCGGATGAAGCACACCGATGATACAGAGTATGTGGTTCATAAATCCCCAGAATAAAATATTGCTTAAATGTTACATCTACCAACTAAACATTTATGTTTTGTTATAATAACACGTAGGTACAAGTGCTTAAACAGGTTATTTGCAACTTACCTGCAAAAATGAACGTATAATCGTACAACCCCGAGCTTTCGTAAATGAAACCTGAAAGCAATTCATCACCTGATTACCATGTATCTGTGCATTTATTGTTATTAACATGACATTTCTGAAATGGATAACATTACTCCCTACAAGAATATAATGCACATTTGAAACCAAAAGAAAACATATTTGTACGACGTATGCAAGTTACCCTTTATAAATCAACTTCTGAAACAATGACTATTGCGTTTAAAATTTGTTCACGAACGATGACACTCAATTACACACATATATACGAAACAAGTATTTGTGTCAAATTCCTAAATGTGTTTGTCAATATAGAACTTACTCGCGATGACAGGTCCAAGAAGGTATCCAACTCCACATGAGAAGTATACCACTCCAAATCCAACAGCAACGGTCGCCAAACCCGCCAGCTCTATTGCGAAGGGACCCATTAAGGAATTCGTGCCATGACTGTAAACCCCGTAGAAGAAACTAAAACCAAGTTGCCAGCGGTAGGTATCCGACATCAGAGGAAACAGAACTGTAATCACCCCAGTAATGCCAAGGAAACCCACTTGGAGCACTGAAAATTCCATGCTGGAATCGGAGGCCCAAAGTCCTATAATAAACCTCGCAAAGACCCCGCCGGCACCCAGTGCACTTAACAGATTTGAAGCTGCTGTTGGAGAACTTCCCATCACCTCTGCATAATTTGGTAAGTGGAATATGCACGCAGCGTCACCTAATGACCAGAAAATGATGGTTGTGTTATACAGAAGGAACGATTTGTTAGAAAGACTTTTTAGAACACTACATGTTGATTTGTGGCAACACTGTTTTGAGATTTCCTTTTCAATTGAAATGCTGGAACAGATTGTTTTATGAAGAAAGGGAGTTTTTGTTAGCTGATCATCAGAATTTTCCAAGCGTTGTGACGACGCCACAGTTGTTCCGTTTTCAATGCCTGAGTGCAGACTTCTCGGACAGAAAGCATCTTCCACCAATGCATCAATCTTCTTGACCGATTCGTCTTGATTTTCTTGCTCAATTTCAATAGTTCTGATGGACAGTGGTGGTTTACGTATGAGGGATGCTGCAACGCACATGTGAAATGCAATAGCACCAATTATGAGTAGTGTCCCATGCAGTTTGTACTCGTCCAGTAGATGCCGTGCAAGGGGGCCAGCCACAAACAGACCCATACCTCCTCCTACCATGCACAATCCATAGGCAGCGGGTCTCTTCTTCTCAAAGTATTGTCCAGGGATGACGCCGACGACATTGGCACCGAGACACAATCCAAACCCTGTTGAGGAGAAACCAGCAGTAAGCCACGGGACATATAACCGACATTACTTCACGAGAGAACGATACCTTGAATAATGAACATTGTGTGTGAACTGTGAATTGTATTTCAGTAATATCACAGAGTACTAGCTTAATGTTGATTCTGACAATCTTTGTCCTCGATATGAAGGGTAGATTGAAAACATGAGTGAGTGAGTTTAGTTTTACGTCGCTGTTAACAATATTGCAGCAATGTCACGTCTGGGGACATCAGAAATGGGCTTTTCACAATGTGTCCCATGTGGGGAGTAGAAGACTTCGACGGCGTCCCGTTTGTCAGACGGTTCCGAGGCTCGTATTTTCGAAGTATTGAACACATGAGGGGTTATTATTGCTCTCCTTCATTTGTAGTTCGGATCTGTGTAAATCAGTGAAGGGAAGTTGAATGTTCGACGGGTTATTGAGAGAGTGACTTTACTTGATAGTTTTCTTACCCGCCATCATTCCATACGTGAAGATCAGCCCTACGATTGTTTGACAAAACGATGCAATGGTCATCCCCAGGAGTGCAAGCGTTCCTCCGGCGAACGCCGTCAGTTTAGACCCAATTCGGTGTTGAACCATACCAGCTAATGGTCCTGAAGAGAATGAGTGAGTGTTTTGGAGATCATGCCCCACAATGGTAAGCTCGTGACATGTGTTCTCCGCAGCTGTGAAAGTATTTCAGCAAAACCGTGGCGTGTCTCCTTGATATGACCAAGGCCATGAACACTACTCAAAAGTCTGTGTCTCCAACACAGAAGGATGTCCTTAAATTCAAACTGACACGCCGGGACTTATAACTGAAATACTGTTATGCAAACTAATTACAAACATAGCGTTGATCATCTTACTAAACAGACCCCGATGGACGTAAAAGGTGAAGTTTATGTGAATAAATCAGGTTTTGGCGAAAAGGGTAAGCATAAGCATATCACCGTCCGGTTTTCGCACATGTATAGAATGTATGATTTGTGTACCAGATATAACCTCACTCATTCACTATTCAGCAAATAGTTTTATATAAGAGGAACTGGTGAAATTAACTAGCACAAGCTGTTTCTCCCACCGAGTAATGTGTAAGATCCAATTAGAGTTGAACCTATCCATGATGTTTTCGTGATGTCATTCTCCACCTCTTGCATGATGGCGATGTTGATGACTCCTGATGAAAAGGCAACAAGTCCTGCTAGAAGCTGAATAGAGACAGCTGCTGCCAGAGCTACCCAGGCGTACCCTTGGTCCACGTCCTTCCGAGTCATCATCAGCTGTAGAACATATAATATTTTCTTTAAAAAACGGAACTGATGGACAGTTGTAGCATGTTCCCAGTTTTTTACGTAACGGACAATCCAGTGATCAGCAGCATGGACATCGATCTACGCAATTGTGTCAACCAAGTCAGCGAGCCTTACCACCCGATCCCGTTAGTCGCCTCTTACTGAAGAGATACTGAAAATAAATTCTAACCCGAACCTTCATGGGTATTATGCAGCAGAGAATCAAGCAGAGTGGTAAAAGCAGAATCAATTGTACAACTGTGACAATACCATGTTGTTGTTATCATTTTTTTCACGCCTGATCTGCACAGATTATAGTACAGTTTTCTCCCGTCCGGGATTCGAACCCAAGCTCTCAGAGTGATACACCTAATCGTCAGTATATAAAGGCAGTGATCTATTAGCGATAGACAAAGTGAACACCCAAATATATCATTATGCTGCATTCAATGATATTGTCTACTGATTCCTCAATGTGTCACAAAGAATAACTTGCCGACATTACATCCCACCGATCTATCTTTGCTATTTAAAACTGAGACAAAAATAATATCTGATGCTATTTTCAGTTTTACCGGTACCATCCATGGCGTATTCCTCTCTGGGCGAACAGTTGTCTTCCAACGACATGTGTTTGGTAAACTATCACATCAATAGCAGGACGCGCTCAACATTTTGCCAACAGCTGGTATCATCACAATTTGACATTAATTAAATGAACACATGCTTCCGATGTTCCGAACAGCTCAATAGACCCCATCTTGAGCATTTTGTAGACAGTTATAGTCATTATAACTTAGCTATCATTTTCCGCATATATTGGTTATATATTCGACTGATATACTTATTCTAATTGTTGTTATCACACACAGCAATGGGGCCTGAAGGACTTGCTGATGCTGGCGACAGACGAGAATGCCTCCTAAATATCGACTTACATCTGTAACTAAACTGACTCGCCACAACAGTTTAGTTTTAAAGGGAACTTTCAGCAATAATCCAGCCATATGGCGGCTCTCAGTAAATAATTGAGTCTGGACCAGACAAGCAATAATCAGCCCAGTACCATCGACAACATGAGCATCGATCTACGCAATTAGGATTCGATGACATGTGTCAACCAAGTAAGTGAGCCTGACCACCCGATCCAGTTAGTCGCCTCTTACGACTGAAGATCAATTCTGACCATGGGTTACGTGCAGTGCAACACACTGACCGTGTTGCGGCTCAACAATCCATTAATTCAGTATCACACACAGACATATTCTCATAAGAGACAGCTGTCAGTTACCAAATCCAATTATGTAATACTAAACTGGGCCCTGTTTCACAAAGCTATCTTAGTGCTACGGCTGTTGTAACTCTATGGTAAAGTATAGGATATACGCTAGCCGTAGATACGCTAGTCGTAGTCCTATGATCCCTCTGTGAAATGCGGCCCTGTATGACTGTTCAGGAAGGGACCTGTGAATGTACGTCTTCTCACAACAAACATGGCAATCGTGGTCAGGAAACAAGACACAGATGTTCACAGGAACACGCACAGACGCAAAACACGGTCCTACATAGCAATTATTATAGATCATGCATGCATATTGTCATACTTACACTTGCTCAGTCGTGCACAGTGCGACCCACTTCCCTAACCCAGTGCCACAAAACAGCTAAAGTCCTGTGGACGAAACAGTACGTTGTTTCTAAATAAAGCTCTTCACATGTGGCTGACACATTGAGGCTTTTCACGCGAGCAGTGGGGTCTGGTAGCTCTACAAAGGAGCTAAACACACTCATAACGGCGCATTTTCCTCTTGCTTCTTTTGTGTCAAATCATCATCTCCTAAGCTGCATACCAAGGTGTTCATCTCACAAGTGCAAGGAAGGGACATGACACGTATTCCAAACATGTATAATTATATTCAATGAAAGGAATTCGGTTAATGAAATGAAGCGTATTTATTACGACAGGTGGGGTTAATGAACATATATTATTTTCTATACAGATATAGTTTGATAAAAGGGGACATACGTACATACATGTATTATGATGTAATATGAATTCGTGAAAACCTGTTCCCTTAACCTGTATGAGGACGGTTCCTGGTCAGTAAGATACAGGAGTTACTACATTGTATCATGTTAAAGTAGTTACACCACTGCTGGATGTTTCCATACTGATTGTAATCTCTGAACATAAGTTGGCTTGTTGTTGGTCTGTTTAACGCCGCACGTTTGTCTTGACCAGACAATCCAGCGATCAACAGCATGAACATCAATCTACGCAATTGGGGTACGATGACATGTGTCACAACCCGATCCCTTTTATCACCTCTTACGACAAGCATGGATTACTGAAGACTAATTCTAATCCGGATCATTACACGTCTCAGAACCTTAGTAAAGCCTCTCCTCTGTGAATTCAGGACACATGGCCTTAGCCAGGGTATAATAGAAGACACCAAATCGTTAATGGACAATGCAGACCCAGGGCAGGTACAATTTGGTTTTATCTCTCACATAAAATAGTTGTCTGAACCCCTTAAACCCAGGTCTTGTTTTTATGTCATGCAATAAATGCTTTCATTGCTTGAAGTCCAAATATTTTCTGAGTCATTTCAACTCATGGCGTACGTGCATTGTTTTACTAAGAAGGACATAGACGACGGTGGGTGCAGACGAGAATAAAATACTGTTATACTAGTGACAATGTGAACAACAAAATGTATCATGTGAATACAACGCATCTTTTATTCTTGTCTTGGCTTCAATCCTGCTAGAATTCAGAACCAAGAAAAGATTATGAAATCATTTTAACATTTGGGGACGTTGGTTGTGAGCGTGATGTAAACATGGAATTTGTGGCTTTGCGGTGCCCACTTCGCTTTTCATTTCTCTAAAATACGTAATTAGAGATATTACAGAAAGTGAGATTACAGATAATGAATCACAGGGTAATTTGGGTCGTCATGTAATTATCAACTACTCTGTCACCTTCTCTTTGTTGGGCAACCGCTATACTGGTGATGGTGGACCGACTGTGGCTCGGTGCTGCACCAATGAGCAGATATAACGTTGACCCGATGACGACAGCGGGCCCTGTCCACTGACTTTGAAAGACTTGACAGCTTGCTACAATTAAGCCGAAAACCTCAAGTGGACAACTACCACATGAACCTGTATCCTTTCGAATACCTTCAATCCAATTGCTTATATCCCAGTTGTTCCGTATGGGTTAATGTTCCAAGTGCTTGTGATGGCGGATTGCTGACTGAGAATCCTTCTCGGCTGGGGACTACAATTAAGATTTAACTTCTACCTTCCCCTTAAAGATACAAAGTGCATTTTGGAAAGATATTAAGACAAGTATTTTTTTTAGGAAATGACATTTTATCTTTGGTTAGAGTTGCACAGAGTAACCCTTTTCCTTTCAATCAAATTTGACTCATCTCGAAGTTACTGATAAGACTTCAATTGCCGAAACGAAGTGATGGTGGCGAATGGAACATTTGAAGATATCATATAATGGATTATGGAAGACGCGTTGCGATTGTGTGGAAGTACATACCTGTACTAAGGGACTGGCAATAGATACTGGCTAACCAACCCTGTGCCGCAGCTATTAGAGGCGAGAAGGAAGCTGTATTCGTCACATGTTTACCCCAGCTTATGCGGTGGCCTGATGGTGACGGATAGCGTTCAGCATGGGATAAAAAATGATAATTAGTATGCATACCGTCGAACTTTGTTTTGATTAAGGGATGGAATGCGAAGTAACAGTACGAGCACATATACAATGTGCAGCCTGAACTAGAAATAAGGGGCCCGTGAGTGAGTGAGTGAGTTTAGTTTTACGCCGCACTCAGCAATATTCCAGCTATATGGCGGCGGTCTGTAAATAATCGAGTCTGGACCAGACAATCCAGTGATCAACAGCATGAGCATCGATCTGCGCAATTGGGAACCGATGACCTGTGTCGACCAAGTCATCGAGCCTGACCACCCGATCCCGTTAGTCGCCTCTTTCGACAAGATAGTCGCCTTTTTATGGCAAGCACATGGGTTGCTGAAGACCTATTCTACCCCGGATCTTCACGGGTCAAGGGGCCCGTGAGATTGATGCATCTGTTTTACATAAGATATATGCACGAAGATTCAAAGTGACAAGAACTTCTCCACTCGAATGTCTTCAAGTCACAAAAAGCTTAATGCCTTTTAATAGGAGGCAACACTCCATCAACTAGAGTATTTTGTTATCACATTTCACAGCCTGATTTACAATCGTGCAAGCTCTTTCAACGAGTGAGTGAGTGAGTTTGGTTTTACGCCGCTTTTAGCAATAGTCCAGCAATATCACGGCGGGGGACACCAGAAATGAGCTTCACACATTGTACCCATGTGGGGAATCGAACCCGAGTCTTCGGCGTGACGAGCAAACGCTTTAACCATCAGGCTACCCCACCGTCCCTCTTTCAACGAAGACTTCAAGGAACGTTGAAGGACAAAAGTGATCACGGGTATAACATTCATGACCTTGGTACGATTTTGTATGAAGTGTGGAGGGTTTGCAGGTACACAACTCACGTGCCTTTGCATGTATTTGCCAGGTGTGCCAGCACTTGGGGAGGATAAGCGTGCCCATCGTTAAGTCATCGTATAATTACCGACTGTGATTCATACTTGCATAATTATGATTTAGTCGTGACCGTACAATGAAATGAGAGATTTCTTATGGTCGTTGAAATAGATGTTTCTCGCTTTACTTGTACCGGTAATGAAATGGGTTCCTTGGTTTGTCAGACTGATAAATAAGGAAAGGTAGAATTGATTACCCAAGAGGAAAACTAATCCTTGAGCGGGTCCTTGGTCAGGCGGTGACTGCTGATAAGAGTACAGATCCAGGGAATATGGTATTCAAACCAACGAACGTACATTTCATGAACCATTGTTTGCTTGTAAATTTAAAAACAGTAAACACAGGATTGTGATTGATTAATTAAAGTCATTCAGAGGTATATAATCACGTTATACAGGTCTCTGATTTTCCGTGCGCAATCATACATGGTTTACGGTAATGCACTATTTTTGTCTGCCCACCAACATGGCGGACACCAAACAATCTACCGATGCATCGATACATTACTGCGATTTTGCTGTCGGAAATTACACATATGTCTTTAAAGATGGATTTAGCGATGATGGACTCGACTCACTACTTGCGTAAGTCACAGCAATAGGTATTTATACATACAAAAGTACTTCGAAAGCATGGAAACAAATATTGAGTCGAACAAGATCAAAACATCGTCTGCTTTCCGAATAGAAATTCCGCAAAAACAAATATGTTTACGTTGATTCTATGTTATGTCAGAATAGATCCAGCAATAGACTGCTAAATAATTTCCGTATCAAATTTATTATCAGCTTTCGTCAACGATATCGCCACTGATCTTGATTCGGCAACGGAGGATGCATTAACATCGAACGTCGAAGAAATTTTAATGCCTTCCGTCCGTATAAATAAACAGTTGGGTTATCAATTCAAACAAATGATAGTTTGAAATTCGTACTGTTTCAAATTTAGCGGTAGTAAAACACAATTACAGAATCTGCAAACCGTTCTGTTTAGCCTAACATATTTTTTTTCTAAAAGTATAATATCGTTGAAAAAGTATATATCTCTATATAGAGAATCTCACCCAAGTGTCTACATGCGTTATTACTGAATCTGGAGTTTGTTAGCCATTGACGGTTTGCCACCAATCACCCCGTTTCGGGCAATGCCACTTGAGACTCGTAACCAAAGAAAGAGCTCCACCTGAAATTGTTCATAAAATTGTCATGCTAGAATGGAGATAAACCTACTGTGTGGGAAAATCAGAGGTATATAACGAAATGATAATAGCTCTAAATTGTTCATTTAAAACCTCACGCGAAATTATAATAGCTCTAAATTGTTCATTTAAAGCTATTATAATCTCGTTATATACCTCTGATTTTCTCACACAGTAGGTTTATCTCCTAATTACATTACTGCAAAAAAGCAAAACATCAAAACAACGATCGTTATGAAAATATATCAGAAAACGATGCAGCTTTGATCTTACCTGTTTCCTAGATTACTATGGCATACAAATGCAACGCTACGTCTAAAGTCATTTGTTGACATGACCTCGTTGTGCAAGATAGAGGTCCCTAACCTATTGTGCCTCTCAAACAGGTGACGTCATCAGTGTTGTGTTGTCATCCACGTTTGGCCATGATACAGAACGATTAAGGTGAAGAAGGTCACAAAGACTTCAAACGCTGTACCTGTTTGGGACTCGCACCATGCTCTTCGTTTATATATAAACATTTCTGTCCCGTGTTGGTGAATGGGAGGTTTCCAACAGAAAATATTTTTGTTTCTTTGTTTCTTAAAGCAGTAATTAGGAATAATTAATATATGTGACAACGGTATGTAACTAGTTGAGTCTGAACACACAATCTATTGATTGACACCATGAGCAACGGTCTACTCATTTGGGATACGATGGAATACAACAACACTCAGTGAGTCTGACCACCAAAACCCGTCAGTCGCCTCCAAGATATATGCGTTAAGCACCTGTCTCGTGGGTGACAGAACCCTTGGCTCGGGTAGGAGTGAGTTTAGTCAACTGTAGAGCGGATCTTCATGGGTGGGCTCGGGTAGGTAGCATAGAGGGAACATATACCCCTCTCATGGAACATGCGAACGTTATCTTATCACAATTTGGGCAACAATTACTTGGGTGACCACTGTAATAACAAATGACATTAGTTTTCAGATGAACTGAGTATAGATCAGAGTATATGGTGGCATGGTGGGCGAGCTGGCTAGGGCGCCAGGGGCTACTGATCCAGCGAGCTTGAGGTGACGGGATCGAGCCCACCTTTGATCGGGCGTAAAAACATTGGCGTCAACTTTGAGTGCTGACTTTCGTTGTTGTCACAACCCCTAGTGTACAGTACAGAAACCTGTGCACTTAAAGAACTCACGAATCCGTTGGTATATGACCAGATGATTGCCACATGAATATGTGCAAACACATAGTTGCGGGTACAGCCACGTGCAGTAAACGTGGACAAAGTACTGTTACTATGTGTCGCAGTCCACCTAGCTGTAAATAGAACAGAACAGAATTTTATTTCAGTAACAGGCCTCCGGCCCAAAATACATGTACATAAATTGATGATAAGTAGAGCACATATATATTTCATTTAGATTTGTGTTTCTTGTCAACAAAATATAAAAATAGACATCCATCCTTGATAATATTAACATTTTTACTCTGTAATATTGATATAAAATTAATAATTGATGGACATTTACTAAAATATTTTGATATGTACTTATTTCTGATATGAGAATATGCATCACAGATATAAAACACATGCCATTCATCTTCAACAACAAAGATACCATTTAATTTACAAAACAGGCAATGCCTCTCATTATATACAACATCAGTGTATCTTCCCGGTTCAACTGCTAGTTTAAAATTACAGCACCGAAATCGGGCATATATAGTTTTTAAATATTGAGGGATATCATTATTTATCAAGTAGCTCTCAACATTTAACAAAGATTTGAATTGCTTATAGTAAAGACATTTACGGTTACTGTCCAAAGATGAATGCCAAGATTGAAATAAATTATCACGTAGTCTCTGTTTAAATGATTCCATAAATATTTTGTGATCACCAATTTCCTGACTTATCCAAACAAATCCAAAGCCAAATTGAAAAAGAATATTTTTAATTCTAATTGCCCATGAGTTTCGTCCTACCCGGTCTAAAGATAATGGCATAAAATAACATTGTTTTGGTAATCTATAGTCAGGCATGTTTAGAAGTCTGCACCAGTATTTCACTGAATTGGTTGTATAAGTAAACTGTAAAGGCACTCTTCCACATTCACCCAAGACCATATTGTTACAGGTGGATTTAATAATAATAATAATAATGGCACTTATATTGCGCTATATCCACGCCATGAAGGTATGCTCAAAGCGCATTGCCTCAAACGATGGAAACAGAGGCAGTTGAGTTCTCCACAATGGTATGAATTATGTATCTTTTACGTATAGTGCTTGAAAAGGTAGGATTTAAGACTGGATTTAAAAGTTTCAAGAGATGGAATCAACTTCAGTGATTCGGGCAGAGAGTTCCACAGAGTAGCGGCTGAGACAGAAAAGGATCTGGAGCCGAAAGTTTTAAGTTTGGTTACAGGCACCCGAAGGAGCTGTTGTTGACTAGAGCGTAGAGTTCTTGAAGGGACATATGAGACAGTCAGATCACTCAGATAGGCAGGTCCAGTACCATGGACAGCTTGGTAAGTGAGTGAGAGAATTTTGAAAATGATTCGCTCAGGAATGCGAAGCCAGTGAAGCGAGTTTAGCACTGGTGTGATGTGTGCCTTTATGTTCGTCCGAGTGACCAATCTGGCAGCATAGTTTTGGATGTGCTGCAGACGTCTGATTTGTTGTTTGGTGATTCCATGGAGCAAACTGTTGCAATAGTCTAATCGAGAGAATATCAGAGATCTCACGAGGGAGGCAGCTGCATCTCTCGTCAGCAAATGTATGATGGCACTGATGTTTCTCAGGTGGTAATGACTGACCTTGCAGCAGTGGCTCACGTGATCTTCCACGGACAGCGAGGAGTCAAGGTACACACCAAGGTTCTTGACAGATGACTTGAAGGTGATGTCAGCTGACCCGATAGACAGATGATCCAAAGTACATTTCCGTAACCTGGATGGAGGTCCAAACAAAATCACCTCCGTTTTGTCTGAATTGAGTTTCAGCTTGTTCTTTTCCATCCATGTACTGACATCAGCAATGCACTGTTGCATTGCATGTTTTGCTTCAGATTCACTGATGGGTGTTGGCTTAAAGCTGTTCTGTACTTGCGAGTCATCTGCATAGAAGTGATGAGTTATATGATGTTCTTCAATACACTGACCTAGAGGTGTTGTATAAAGGGTAAAAAGTATTGGCCCTAACACTGATCCTTGTGGTACTCCACAGAATAATCTGGCTGGAGCTGACATCTCATCACCAATTAGGACTGTCTGTGACCTGTTTGTGAAGTACTCAAACCACTGAAGCGGTATCCCTGTGATGCCGAAGGTATTTTCGAGACGATGCAATATTATGCTATGATCTATGGTATCAAAGGCGGATGACAAGTCTAGCAATACCAGCATAGCAATATCCTCTGTCAACAGACATGTGCACACTGTTCATCCACACAGTTTAATGCTGTTTCCGTAATTGTTGGCCTGTCTATAAGCTGACTGATACTTGTGAAGTAGATCATTTGAGGTCAGGTGGTACAGCAACTGTCTCTTAACTATTTTCTCTAAGTTTTGGATATGAACGATAGGTTGGAGACTGGCCTATAGTTCTTGAGTAGCTGCGATCTAAATTTGGCTTCTTCAGAAGGGGTTTGACAATGGCTTTTTAAAAATAATCCGGCACAACACCCGTGGATATACTGACATTGATTATATCTGTGATGGTGGGTAGGACAACGTCCAGGATCTTCAACATGAACTTGGTGGGTAGAGGATCTAGGCTGCACGATGTTGGTATGGCCTCGAGGATGGTTTTACGGACTTCATTTTCTGTTACAACCCGGAATGAACTAAACTTGGTGCCCGTGTATTGAGGAGATGGTTCGTTGTCCATATCAGAATCAAACTGTTGGCAGATGTTGCTGATCTTGTCCAGAAAGTAGCTGTAAAATTCTAATGCTAGGTGAGCATCTGCACCATGAGGAAGTGCTGCAGTTGACTGTTTTCCGAGTAAACCGTGTAGGATAGAGAACATCTTCTGTGGATTATTAGAACTGCCTGTGAGTTCAGCATTGATATATTCAGCTTTGGCTGTACGAATGAGATTGTTCACAGAGTGCCTGCAAGCATTGAAGATCTGTCTGTGAATCTCCAGCTGCGACTTCCTCCACTGCCGTTCTGCAGCTCTCCGAGTACTTTTGGCTTCTCTGATCTCTGCCGTGTGCCATGGAGATGTTGTTCTTGGTCTACGAACTCTGGTCCTGACAGGAGCATGTTTATCAACTATAGCCGCCAGTTTTGTGTTGAACTCGCTGACAAGGTTGTTTACATCATCCGGAGAGGACGTGTCTTCAGCACTCTCAAGAAAATCATTTGAAAAAGAGTTAATGTCTACAGGTTTAAAGTTTCGGATTTCCCAAGTTTCAAGACATATTTACAGAATTTAATATGGACAGATTCAATGGTATTACAGTAGGATGTGCCCCAGATTTCAGACCCATAACAGAGAATGGGTGATATCATACAATCAAAGATTTTAAATAAATCTGTACAATTAATGCTGCCAAGTTTCCTTTGGAAATTTTTAACAGAGAATATTGCCTTACTAGCTTGTGATGCAAGGCAAGATGTAGCTTTACTCCAGGATAATTTAGGAGTGAACATAATTCCAAGGTACTTGTAAAAGGATACAGTTTCAATAACATTGCCATTATAAAACCAATTTTCATATGAGCGCAAGGGACCACCATTTCTAAAAACAATAATCTTAGTTTTCTTTAGATTCACGCTCATGCCAGTTTGCTCACAACATTTACCAAGTACATTGATCTTTTTTTGCAGCTTTGCACAGGTGTCAGCTATTGCTGACACATCATCAGCAAACATAAGAGAGCAGAGATTGCTAATAGAAGAAGAAACTGTAATACCTTGACCTCCTTCCAACTCCATAAGACTGCATAGCTTATTTATGAAGATAATAAAAATCTGAGGGCTCAAAACACAGCCTTGGCGAGTACCGATTTTTTACAATAAAAACTATTTGATACACCCTTAGATGTCCTGACTGAAGCTGATAAAGAACTATACATAGAAGTTAACAGCATAAGAAATTTACCTCGTATACCAGCTTCATAAAGTGACTTTAGAAGAACATCATGCCTTAGAGTATCAAAAAGCCTTGGCAAAATCTACAAAGAGACAATAAAAATCTACCCCTTTTTGCTAATATATTTTTGAATTAACGACTGCAATGAAAAAATTTTGGTCAATTGTTGAATAATCAGCCCTGAAACCAGACTGTGATTCACTGATAATATCATGAACTTCACACCATCGCTGGAGGCGGCGATTAAGAATTGACATAAACACTTTACAAGTAGAATCTATGAGAGAAATTCCTCTGTAATTATTAGTATCATCTCTACAACCAGACTTATGAACAGGACAAATAATGCTTTTACCCCAACAAGATGGAAATTTACCACTATCAAGAATATGATTAAAAAGCTGAGTAAGATATGGTACAATGAGATGACTAGAAGCCTTTAAGAATTCAGCAGCAACACCATCTGGCCCTGGAGATTTATTATTAGCAGAATTAACTATCTGACGTGAAACTTCCTGTTGAGTAATAGGATCATCAAGCCCTTCTGATCTCTGAGTTGACAAATAAACATCACTATCCTCATCTGAAAGACAAGACCCATCTTGATCTGCACCAAGTAAAGACATAAAGTGACTGACCCACTGCAGATTAGTTATAGACTGAGAAATACCACTGGAAGAATTACACTTTTTCAAAATCCTCCAAAATGACTTAGAATCCTTGCTAGCAGCTACCAACTTGTCCTTTTGTTTACAGAAATAGGCTTCCTTCTTCACTCTGAAAACATGTTTAAAACAATTTCTAAAACACCTGAAAATATCCAGACTTTGATTAAAATCTCTATGAGCTCTAAGAGCCTTGTACTTATCATGTTTTAACTCCTCTAATTCTTGATCCCACCATGGAGGCTGCTCCTGTCCCTATCAGCTTTACTACACACACAGGAGGGTACACACTTTTAGTGTGGGCAGCAGCATGATGAAGTAGCTTTACAAACATAGATATAGAGTCGTCAACACATGTATTCAATAGGTATAACAAATCACCAAGAGAGTCTGCAAATGCATGCTCAAAGTGTGTGATAAACTTATTTTCTGTGTCCTTAGACCCTACATATTTGATCCATGTTTCATTTACTTCATCAGACACAGTGTCATTAGCCCTGCTGTCAGTGTCAGCAGCAATGGCAATAGAGCAATATGGCAAGATAAGTCATGAGTACCTATGCCAAAGTTATTGATATGAGGAAACAGTGATGAGGATGCCATCATGTAATCAACAACACTGGCCCCATTGTGGGTGACACATGTAAACTCTCCAGACAGATCTTCATACAGTCGACCGTTCAGAGTGTGTATCCCAAATGTACGACATAGTTCTGCAAGTTTCATACCATAATTATTATACTGTTCATCTTTAGAATTCCTTGGGGTTTCAAACATATCACCTGGATAACCATCCGTATCATAAACATATTCAATAGTATCATCTGGTATATAATCAAGGAAGTCCTTCATTCTTGCATTAAGATCACCCCCTAGAAATATATGGTCAGTTGGATAATCTGATCTCACTCTATGGAAGTAATCTTCCAGTTGACAAATACCATCACAGTCAACATTATCATATATTGGAGAGTTCTCAGGTGAAACGTATTGAACATGAGAATTATATCATGGCCCAACTTCAAGCGAGATGTATGCAAGATGAGAGCTACACAGTCCTGGAAATGTTCATACACACGGCTAACGAACCTATTATCAATGAATATGTTCTTGACAAACACAATCACGCCTCCGTTGTACCGACCGAGACGTTTTACTTTCTGTCTTACACTATTAAACACTCCGTAGCTGTAAATAGGTACCTCGTAAGGATGAGACAGCCCCAATACCTCGGTGCGCTTAGTGGGTGCAAGAGTTGTATGGTCCCCGGGGCGTTGAGATTGATAAAAAACGATGTGCCGTTGAGATTGACATCCAGTGATCGAGGGAAAAAATGTCAGCGCCTTGAGCATGTACTTAATGCATGGCTATGTGCGTTATATAAATATCCTAAAATAATACTATAATCACTGAGTGAGTAGTCCCGTGAAGATGCGGATAAAAATTGATCTTCAGTAGCCAATGCTTGTCGCAAGAGGCGACCAACGGGATCGGGTTGTCAGACTCGCTGACTTGGTTGACATATGTCATCGTATCCCAGTTGCGCAAATCGATGCTCATGCTGCTGATCACTGGATTTTGTGGTCCAGACTCGATTATTTACAGATCGTCGCCATACAGCTGGAATATTGAGGCGTAAAAATAAACTCACTGAGTGAGTTAAATGGGACTTACGCCATGCCTCATGAGTTAGTTCAGATTTATAGTCACATCGGCAATATTTCAGTCTTATCGTGACTCGCCCATATCGTGACTCGGCTAAGTGTGTCCCGGTCTCATAGTTTAAATGCAGATCATGTGACACGACACAATGCATATGATGGTTCACAAAAATGAGATCGAAAATATACGTGACCTTGATTAGGAGATGTAGGTTGTACGTTAGTATAGTCGGTACAAAGAGTACTGCTGCAGGCTTCTTCATATGGAAAGTTCCAGATATCCGAGAACTTGCTGTGATGTGTTACGGATTCATGATGCTAATGGCAAGATAAATGGGTGTTTTCATATCCGTAAGCTATCATTTGAAACCAGGTTTTCGTTTATCTGGATTACTTATGTATCTGGATTGTGCTTATATCAGGGTCTTTTTTTTGAGTGGCTGAGATGTAAAGAAATAGAGTTACAGAAATGGTATGACAAGATTTCAAATTTGAATTTGTATTGTGGTTTCAAACCTATAATGGGCGTTGACAAAATGTTTAATTATACTCTTCTAAGCACTTACCGAGGGTCTATTGTAATTGTCGTAGTGCACTGCATAAGTTGAGTAAGTGCAGTATATGGCTAAACGCAAATGATGATCCCCAAATGGTTTCGTGCACAAATTGTAATTCACGTTCCATTGACGTCCTTGTCGAATGTTCTGTCGAGCATAGAAATGTTTTTACAACATTGTTATTATATGAATCCTCGACTGATAAATTATACGAGTTTAGTATGTCATCAACAAATCGTTCAGGTATCAACAATAGCATTTAAAAAAAAGTCTCCAAGATAAACGTTCCTGTATAATTACACAACTGCAGAAGCAGCGCACTTTGTGCGTGTATTATATATGCATAACTACGGGCCATGTGACCTTAAGTGAACATAATCTTGTCACTCGTTTCAGCACTGCATTGCTGTTTTTTTGCATTAACTTCAAAACTTCAATTAGTCCTGAAGTGCGTTATATGAGGAACAGATAGCCTTGATGTTCTTCTGCATGGTGGAGTGAGTGAGTGATTTTAGTTTAACGCCGACTCAGCAATATTCCAGCTATATGGCGGTGGACTGTAAAGAATCGAGTCTGGACCAGTCAATCCAGTGATCAACAGTATGAACATCGATCTACTTGGGTACGAACTGAGGTACGCTAACATCTGTCAACCAAGTCAGCTAGTCTGACCACCCGATCCGGTTAGTGGCGACAAGCATGGGATACTGAAGATCAATTCTAACCCTGATCTTCACGGGTGTGCATAATGGATATGTTTGGATAAAGAAACACGCTGTGTTTGCCAATTTGAAATCAAAGGTGCGCATATTACAATGTGATGTCCGTCTACGTTGCATTTACAATGCGCAACTAATCTGTTTCCGATCTCTATTCAACTGTGGGTAGCTAAGTGGTTAAAGCGTTCACTCGTCACGCCGAATACCCGGGTTCGATTTCCCATATGGTTTCAATGTATGAAGATCTGTTGTCCCCCGCCACGATATTGCTGGAATATTCCTGAAAGCTGCGTAAAACCATATTTAAGCGCTCATTATTCACCTAGTCAGAGACAGTAGAACTGAGACAACCACCAAGCAACCTCGTACTATTGTGCTGGCAAAAGTGTCCATTATATCGGCCTGTGTGTCTGTTCCTCATTCACAAGAAAGAAGCCTATAGGTTATAAAAACCTTTTATGCCAATAGTATCATTCATGGATTTTGCATATTTCTCAATTCACAAGACAGAAAATATTCGAGTGATCTAATGTCAATTTTGTGGTAACAAATGAACAATACTACTTTAAGGTGGTACGGCAATTTTAGTCAAGGGAATAAAATAAGCCACACAGAAAAAAATATGCTCACAGATCGCAGAAATCCAAGAGCAAAAAAAACCCTTCTTTTTTAAGTTCCCACTATGTTATTTAAAGTGTAGAAAACTATCTTTTGCAATTTGAGTAAAATATTGAACTTACAAAAACAACTAACACTTTTGCCATTGGTACTCAAACGCCAGTGGACAACAACTCATGAGAAAGGCTGTAAATGCACGCTTCATCAAGTCAAACAGTTTGCATGACAATATCACGCGAAAAGAAATTAAGACGTTTGCTTCATTGGATAAAGGTATATTTTCCCGTGGAAAACAGACGCGATCAACAGCTTGAACAAACCATCATAGATGTGTTGCTATGGAGTTTGTAGATGTAGACAGTCCACTGGGTCATGATTCATCCGTTGATCCGCCCTCACTCGCTATCAGTCAGAGCGGACCTACGGACAATTCACAGCCAGGATCTATCCTGGTAAACGGTCTTCGGTTCAAAAGCAATCCTACGTTCCAATGTCACCATGCAGTATAGTATACCGTATTCTAAGTATTCAGAGCCCTTCTACCTATACGCCCTTTATCAGAATACGTAGCATATAGGACGCCATTTGGTTTGTTAGGTGTACATACCAGTGTACATTTAGGTGTCTAAATGTTCATAAGCCATACAGCATTTACTTAATATACAGTTCGCACATAATATACGATTGCGTGAAATCAAACCATCATGTCAACCGCGATAGATCTGGCTTTAATTATCTAGCCGCCTACTTCTAAATGCACTTGTGGATGCAACTGATATCGAACTCAGGACAGAACATAGACCTGGAAAGAAAAAAAAGAGTATTATTGATGGTGCAAACATAATACAAACACCATAATCAAACAGCCTAGAATTGAAATATCCCAAGGAAATTAGCAAAGTGTCAAAGTACAATATATAACGAAATGCAATTTAAGTTGCCTTGTTTTGTAATGTGCTAAGACTCGCCAGAAACGACCTTCTTTCACAACTTATTTACTAGGGATATTGAAACACAATGTCATGTGCGCAGAAACAAAAAAACGCATATATATGTAGTTTATTGCGACGAGAAACTGCCACCTTATGTCTTGCGCATATGCACGTGTCAGCAGTTGACCAGAATCTCAGTCAATAACATTACATGTTCTTACCTGAAAATATGTAGGTATATTCATATATCCCACTTGTTTTATACAAGAAACCTGAAGACATGTAAAAAAAGGCATCTGAAATAATAATGGACATCAAATATTTTCAATACACGGTATTGAGGGAAATCTGTTTGACAGGGATGTGTTGGGTCAATAAATAGCGGTAAAGCCCTGTTCAAATCCTCAAGAACTCTCTGCAAAGAGCAGAGTCTTTATACGATTTCGACTATATCACAAGCATGCGTTTATGAAACACTATCAAACAGCGATGATAACAGGTGCTGTCCAAATCCACAAGAACTCTCTGCAAAGAGCAGAGTCTTTATACAATTGCGACTATATCACAAGCATGCGTTTATGAAACACTATCAAACAGCGATGATAACGGGTGCTTGAGAAAGAGTGCATACCATGCCCAACTGGTGGCACACTTCATAAACACATGCAAGGGCTAGCCAATTGTTCACATGAAAACCATATAGGAACCTACTAATGTAACAAATGGTCCATGACGAGTAGGGTAAGAAATCTTATAGCTAAAGTATATGGTATTATCATGAAACGGCCCTCCCATTATCAGAAATTTGCGGGCCGCTGCAAATGATATTGGACCGCTCAACCTTAACAATGGGCCACTATCAGTTCTGTTGTCAAGTGACGTCATAGTGGGTGCGTGGGCTTACGGTTCATTCGACATTGACTTTCGACTGGCAGGTATTCTGGGCCAAACAAGTCAAAGCAGTCCGAATACCGGCTTTAAATAGCAGTAATATTGGTTTTCTTGCTGGTGCTAACCTTCACAATTGCACTATTTATATTTTATTAACATTGTTAAACCGAACACTGACATAGTTTGACATGTTGCAGGCTATGGTCTTGTCCAAGGCCAAGGTCGAATATCGTCACTTTCTGTTGTGACGTCACTTAAATTGTTCGATGACGTAATTGCATTCGATCTTTTTCAACTGCCCTCCTTCGTCGAGCAGTTAATGGAAAACCTCGGTCTTCTGCAAATGATAATGCTCTCAAAAAAAGCATTACCCTCATAATATTGTAAGAGTAGCAGTTATCATGCAACGTCAAAAGACTCTTCATGAACATGTCTACTAGTTATAATTATGTCAAATGTTTTGGTGTGTATATGGCAAAGTGAAAGGAGAGTATTGTAAGGTTTTTAAGTTCTGCTCCAGTAAGGAGCACTACCACCAAATTCAGTCAAAGTCTGGCAAGAAACACAAAAAATACTTTATTCCGAATTCCAAAAATACCGAAAGGCACCAGTACACCACAAGACCAATCTATGTGCCAAGTTTGGTTCTACAGTTCTGCTCCGGAAAAGAACACTACCACCAATTTCAGTCAAACTCAAACTTGTTGCCAAGAAAACGCAATCAAATATTTTATTCAGATATCCAAACTATCAAAAGACACCAGTACACCACCAGATCTATCTATGTGAGAAGTGTGGGAAAGAAATAGTGAATGGTTTTGATGTTTTGCCTCCCGAAAAGATGAATGTGCATGGACCGACGCACGCACGGAAAGAGCGCGTTTTAATACCCCCCGCAAAACGCGTTGCGGAGGATAATAACAGTACATCAGTCTTAAACTTTATCGTACAGTGCTTCCGACAGTGATATCAACATGACACGTATTTAAACTAATCCATTCGTGACATAGATTTTCTCAATACAAGGAGACACTATCAAGAGGGGGACAAACTTACTTGCAGTAGGAGGTCCCAGCAAATGTCCACCTCCAATGAAGAGACTAACGATTCCGTACGAAATAGAAGCATTTGGTAAACCAAGAAGCCTAATTGTCATAGGTCCAAGAAGCGAATATACGCCATGGCAATATGTCCCATACAAACAACTGAACACAAGCTGAGCATTGTAACTGTTAGGCAATAATGGGAAGACGAGCGCTAATGTTCCTGTTATCCCAGTTATTCCAAACTGGAGCAACAGATCGTCAATGTTTGTGTCAGATGAAGCTAACCCCACGACTATTCTTGAGAAGATACTACCTGCACCCACAGCAGGAAGCAGAGTGGCAGCCTGAATAGGTGAACTTCCTTTATATTCAGCGTAGTTTGGCAAGTGAAGTATGCAAGATGATGCTCCCAAACACCACAGAAAAACACTAACATTGTACAATACAAAATCCATCTGTATGAAGATCCTGAATCGTGCATACAAACAGGATCCTGTGTAACCTGGATCCGGGGATCCATCATCTGATGATTGGACAGATCTGATGATTGCGTTGTTCTCTTCTGACTGTCTCATGAGACTGGTCGCTTCTGGATGAGGTTGTGGGCAACCTTCTTCTTCTGTCTTTCTGACAATGGATTTGGTTTGTTCTTGGTCCCTTACCGATCGTAACAAGGCACCAGCGAAGCACATGTTGAAGCCGATGCCGCCCAAGATGAGAAGTGTTCCATGTAGGTTGTATTGGTCGAGGAGGTACCGTGCCAATGGCCCCGTGAAGAGACCAGCTCCACTCCCGGCCATGGACACTCCAAACGCAATAGGTCTTCTTTTCAGAAAGTAATATCCTGGGACGACTCCAGCAACATTTGATGCAAGACCTAACGCCAGTCCTGTAACAATAGCAAAAGGCAAATCAGAGCCATAGTTGTCTCACACACTGGGGCGGTGGGATAGCCTAGTGGTTGAAGCGTTCACTAGTCATGCTGAAGACTCGGGTTCGATAACCCACGTGAGGGCAATGTGTAAAGACCATTTCTGGTGTCCCCTTCCTTGCAATTGCTGGAATATTGCTGAATGCGGCCCAAAAACATACTCACTCACTCTGTAACATACGATTTATATAGTTGCTCCAAAACATATCAAACGAGTGAAAGTGGGTAAGATGCGAATTTTTCTTGTCTAAAAAGAGTTAAGATAAATTTCATTTAACTGGCAGAGATATTTTTTTCCCAACCTAAATCCGCAGCGTTAAAGCATCAAATCGGTGTACATTTTAGCCATTATCATGGTCACAGTGGTGTATTATGTCGAACCCCAAAGGGGTCATATCTGGCATGTCCCTAAACACAAACATGTCCATCATGTGGATGTTCGTGTAAAGATACAAATGGAAATAAAGAACCCCTAAAAACATATATTGACACTCTAAAAACCACAAAGTGTCTGATGCTAAGTTATAATTCACGTCTGAAAAAACGAATTCATCTTTCAAGTTTCTGCTTCCAGTTAAGTTAAGTTAATTGCAGTTAAGTACATTGATATTATCAATTACATCCATGTAGCTTTCAAATATAACATTTGACAGCATGTCATCTCACGAAGAACAACTGAACGCGTGAGACCATTTCCTAAGCATACATCCCAAAGAACTAATACGACTGGAAATGGTTGCGTTACCAAGATTTGACTCTTGTGGATGAAACCGTAAATGGAAATACTAGTATCCCTACCTGTCACCAGTCCGTATGTGATTAATAACTCCAACACTTTTTGACAGAAGTATGCCGATGTCATCCCAATCAGCACCAACACCCCGGATATCATAGCTGTTTTTCTGGAGCCTAGTTTCTGATGAACCATACCAGCAACAGGGCCTGTTGAAATCAGTAAATCAGAGTTAGTGCGAAAGTCATTTTCGTTTAACTCGTTTTGGAGAGAAACTGAGTCGTACCACTGCTCATCGGCCTTGAAGAACAACCGCCAATTGTAGGTCGTAGACGCTTACCACTTCTGAGAAACCTAAGGACAGGGGTTTGGTGCTGTCAAACCTAGACCCCATCATGGAGAACCGGGACAGCGATCTAAGATAACAGGATTCGCACAACAAACGGGGGACGGTGGGGTAGCCTGTTGGTTAAAGCGTTGGCTCGTCACGCCGAAGACCCGAGTTCGATTCCCCACATGGGTACAATGTGTGAAGCCCATTTTTCTGGTGTCCCCCGCCGTGACATTGCTGGAATATTGCTAAAACCGGCGTAAAACCAAACTCACTCACTCGCTCACTCACAAGAAACGGACAACTCTTGTGCATCAGGGCCACCAACTCGGTGACCATTCTTTGAAAATTGAAATGTATCTTTAGAACTTTGTTTCCAGTTTTCAAATGATGGTATGAACTTGAGTACTTAAGAGTTATCATCCTTGTGTTGTTATACACTGCACTGAATAGACTACATTCTTTGAGCGGATTCGTAAGAAAACAATAAAAGGTAGATAAACAATATGTCAGGATGAGTGAGTATGGTTTCATCCCATTTATGGTAACATTAGACCAATATCACGGTGGGAACCTAAAATGGGAGTCACATATTGTACCCATATGGGGTAGCGAACCATCAGGCTACCCACTGCACCACGAAGACGATTCGAGATCTTCTGTGGTCCAACTTGCAAAATTACCGTGGACAGGATACATATCGGAAAGCGCCGACGTTTCTGTCTGCATCAGGCTGTGTTCTCAGGATTCAAGAACAGAAGTTGTGCTTCATTGAAGACTTTTGACCGTGACGAAGTCTTACATAAATCCACGCTTAGTGACTGAGAAGGAAGACTACAATCACGGTGAATGTGAGAATAAATCATTCCATAGCCACGAAGCAACGCTCCAAAAGACGCCTGATGCTTTCTAAAGCGACTCAAGTCTGTTCAACGTAAGCCATTCATTTTAATCAGTGGAACTATTGCTTGGCAACAACAATAGAATATGTATCCAAACGTCGCACTCGCGATATCAAAGAAGGTGTTATCCATAACGTTTGTCAATATTGAACCTTAAACCGTGTGGACTACCAGTCACCATGTATGTTTATGAATGGCCAATGAAGTTAATCGGTGTACAAACCAGACACTCGGTATTTAACTGAAACTGAGCAGCACTGGCAATGCACGTTACACCACGATCACCAGATTCGTTTGTAACCGCCACATCCACACGATCACGTGGTTGAAATGATATGCTTTATCACAAATCACAAAAAGACGCTGGACATAAAGGACAGCCACATCTGAACATGGTACTCACTTACACCTGCGGTGCAAAAAACAAAGTCAAAACCTATAAAGACTAATCGGGGGAGTCGGGCCCTTGTTTATGTATATTACTGTTTGCAGAGTTGTTTTGATTTCTTTATGCATATGGCCTAGAGGCGACATTTTAAGCTTATTCTTTAGTCGTACTCTTAATTGTTAGTTGGTGAATTTATGTGAATAAAAGCGACAAAACGCTGTGTTTTAATATTCATAAGAAGTATTTAGCTAGGGGAAGGGCCCAGTGTAAGATTCCCACTCTATCATGAACATATTATGCTTCAGATTTTGATATTGTTTCTATATTCCGCGATGAAACGTTTTTGGTCATCTGACAATATTTGGGCAAGAGTCGCATGGCGCACTTTAAAATCTTAGCAGAAAGAACATGCTCGATTTTACCTCAAGGTGAGAAAAGTAAACACGGTATTCAGATAAGCAACATACAGCTTGTTTACCAAACTCCACAAAGACAAAGGTACACCGGAATTGTATTACTATGTCTACTCACAATGAAATCAATAAGAACAAATAACAATACACAGATCGTGAGAAAGTTTCTGAATACTTACATTTATGCATATACGATCCTTGAACCAACGAACATACTTCTGTATACTCAGATGAGTGAACACGACAATGTTTATATACGCCGGTCAAGGGTATGATGTCACACATCAACAGTGTTGTACATATTTGGTATTGTCCTTGATGTGGAGGTTTATGATTGCCAGAATGCACGGTCAATCAATTCTAGTGCTAAAAAACCCATAAAATAAAAATAAATAAGTAAATAAATAAAAATAAAAATAAATAAATAAAAATTCTAGTGCTCATTATTTTGATGAGAATTCGGATTTTGTGTACAGATGTTTTTTTCCCGGATTTTTGTTGTTTTTTGCGCTATTCGGTTCATTGTTCTTTGCGTTGGGACTAGACACGGGATTAATTTAAATTTACGTATTACATCATGATAAGATGGTGTGGTAACTGTTTAGGTCGCGAGGTCTTTTGATTCCATGATATTACGAACTTATTGTGAGCCTTCTGCTTTCAAAGTACCAAAAATGAGTGTACATTTTCAAACATTGATATGAACTTACTTTCATTTTATAATTAGCTGTTTTGAACAAGCTTAAAAAATGATGTCACGTTGCGTTATGAAATATGAAAATCCTTACTAGGCCAAATGGTGCATTGTGTCATTAAAGTTATTGGACGCACGATTTCACTTGAACTGTTCTTCCCATGATCTATTCATTCGTTTGAACTCATCAAATGATAACTGAACTCTCAACAAGCATACATACATGGGTGCTCAAATACAATAACCATATTGAAATACCCAGCAGGGCGTAAGAGTGACGAAATGGAAATGTTATTTTTTTGTACCGGAGCGTCGCATTGTGACAATGTGTTGTGAATGAATGCACACTCCGCTAGTCAACTTGAATATGGGCACGCTAGTCCACTTGAATGTTGAATGCTAGCCGACTAGAAACTATTTCATGACTACTGCATGTGACAAATACATCACTGTATATTCAAAGATGTGTATTGTATGCATCTCCGTTCATACATGTGTTGAAGCGGAGGATATCAAGTCTCGCTTCCGTTAACTTGATGTTGTAATATAAACATTGTGACATGAATGGCGGTAACATACATGGACGTCCAATGAATGTCTACTTGCCTTTAGTATATCACCCTGCAATGGCTCTCCTGTTGAGGCTATGTGACACGAATACGCTTAAATACGTATATCACCCTGCAATGGCTCTCCTGTTGAGGCTATGTGACACGAATACGCTTAAATACGTATATCACACAGCAAGGCAATGGTTATGTAACATTACCAGCTGTCAGTAGAAAGTGCGTCTCAAAAGGTTTCATGACTACATGAAGAGTAGGCAAACAGTATACACAACACCGTCACTAGAAAATGACGCCCCGTTGCACATCATAAATAACCTTTGAAATATTTAATAAGAGTCACGTCTGACATGGGCGACCGGTTTTATGTTGTCCACATTCCTCTTGTGTGCCGTACACCTTCACCTTATTATCTGGTGTTATGGTAACGTGGATCAATTCTTGTTTCAGTGGTATGTTTAGAAGTTGGTGAATCAGATAAGGACAACACTTTATGGATGAACAACTTCTTTATTCGGATGATGCGACGTTTCGATACAGATTCTTGTATCGTTGTCAAGCAAGTATGAGTGAGACTGTAACGGGTTGAAATATATAGACAGTAAAACAGTTAACAAGAACAACATGAAGTATATATGATACACTAACAATAGGGATCAATTCATTAGAAATATACAGCCTGACACCAATGGTAAAGTGGGCGCACTGTGAATGCATGTGGGTTCGCGTGCTTTTAGGACTTGAAATTACACTGTATAATAGCTGCCCTAGACTACATAATTTTGATAAACCCATTTAAATTAAAAAGGAGCCCCAGTGAGCTGAAAGATTCAACTTAAACCTGGGCAAATGGGACTTGACTTGCTTCATTTATTGCAGGAAGTGCTGGGTAGTGGGGAAAATAATGTGGTTCAGGAACTGTGAGACAGACTATAGCTGTCCCTACATATCGACTGGTTGTACGTAGGGAGGGTTCGCGCTACATGTTGAATGGTTCTGTGCATGTACAGTGCATTTGTGAATTAAAAGGTTATCCTGTTTAATTGGTAATCACACTATAACGTTTAAGCCATTCTGAAATAAGATTCTATTTGCGAATAGCAATGACAGTCAGATTCCTTTCACTGCATAATTGGAAAGGGGCAATTCAGAGTAAAAAATGTAGTGCAATCTTGACATGCATCAGTCTGAAGACATTCCTATACAGCCTTTGAACATCCCCACATATAGCATGTACGGCATATGTATAGCATGTGTGGCTGAATTTTGCTCAAGTTGTGAGGACATCTCAAACAGGGGCAACCCATATGGGCCTGGGGTAAAATGCACCCCGACCGCCCCCCACCGCCGGTCACATTGGTCACCTTGCAGCTGTTTCTTCTGGAGTGTGTTCCTTTGTCGGCAGAGGCGGTGGGTCTGTTGGCTTACAAAATAGTTATGCTGCCAAATCTTGATATTCCTTTCATGATGCAGACCCGTGAAGATCGGGGTAAGAATTGATCGACCGTAACTTATGCTTTTCTAAGAGGCGACTAACGGGATCTGGTCGTCAGGTTCGCTGACTTGTTTGACGCATGTCATCATATCCCAATTGCGTAGATCGATGTTCATAATGTTGATGACTGGATTGTCTGGTCCAGACTCAATTAGTTACAGATCGCCGCCATATAACTGGAATATTTGAACTGTTTAAGAGACATTCTAGAAGATTGATGGCAAAAATAGGAATGAAAAGTGTTTACTGATTATCAACTTCTTTATTGTACAATACCGACGTTTCGGTAGATGCTTATACCGTGTTCAAGCAGTGGTGAATGGGTACAGCAGGATATATATAGGTACATGAGGGTTAACAAAGAACATGGGCGATAAAAGAAAATGAAAACATAAATATACATGAGATAAGCCGTGGCAAGATAAACAGCATGATGAATAGAATACCCATCACAAAAAAAAACACCAATAACAAGCCCGAATCTGCACCCGTCCGCATCCCACTGTTTGTTAAGTTTTATTTTATTTTAAAAAATACAAATACTAAGATAAGTGTTTTAAAATGCGCTTCTCTCCGCTCTCTCTCGCTCTGCATCATCGGGTCCTCAGACGTCTGTCTCAGTCTGTCTCATTGTCACAAAACCTCAGTATTTCCCTTCCGCCTAACCCTTCCTGAAATGCACAAATCTTAATTGAGCAGGTCTAGATTTCCCCTGGTTTGTAATCACTAAAGTCACTGGCTTTCCTTTCACGTTATGTGGCATCATCTGCTTCTATCAAAATTGCATTCTTTCAGAGACTAAGCTTTAGTCTTAGGTGCGAGGGCCCCGTTTCACAAAGGTCTCATAAGCCTAAGATTTCGTAACATCCGTACGTCCTACACTGTAACACTGTGTCCGCTTGTATAACAATGTCTTGCATAGCCAGGCCCTGGTAGGCAGAGACTTAATAGGATCTTATGAACCTTGATGTATAAGGTTACAGCACGTGTGAAAGAAATGTTGAAATATTATGTCCAGTCGGAGTTTCAGCTACACGTTCAATCTTTCCATATGTCCGTTGCACAGATATACCTCTCTGCAGCTTTCGATACTGTGGACCATGACATATTGCGTCAAAGATTGGAAGCAACAAACAGCTGGTATTGGCAGCTCTGCACTTTAGTGGTTCAGATCGTCCCTCACCGACAGATACCTTCAAGTTCAAATTGATGGATCCAGATCAAAAGAATGTGAGCTGCGCTGTGGTGTCCCACAAGCCTCTTTCCTTGGCCCTCACCTTTTAACATTTACATACTGCCTATAGGAAGTATAATCCGACAGCACAATATCAACTTTCACGGATACGCAGACAACAGCCAGTTGTATATGGGAACAAAACCTACCCAAACAGTTGCTTCCACGTTACAACTTGAACAGCGCATCAGTGATATTCAACAGTGGATGACAGCAAATGCACACAAATTTAACATATCAAATACAGGATTCATGACTATTAACTCTGGAAAATAAGAGTCCAAAATTCCAGTTGTAACTCTTGTGATTAGTGGCAGTCACATCAAACCAAGCAATGACTTGAAAAATCTGGGAGTCAAATTCGACAGAAACATAACGTTGAAAGACCATGCCAAATCAACATGCAGACCTGCCTTCTTCCAGCTCTTTAACATCAGCACGATGAAGACATACCTTGACATTGACAGTCTGAGGACAGTTATCTAAGCCTGTGTTATATCATGTCTTGCCGATGGAAATGCCCTCCTCAATGGAGCAACTACCGCTAACATCAAACTACAAACTGTTACCAGAAGAACTGACCATATCACCCCCGTCCTGAAACCACTCCACTGGCTACCTGTAGAGCACCGGGTCCCTGGTATGGTGATCTACCTTGAGTTATTGGCGATTTATAGCCCATTTTTATACTGTATTGTTTTTCCCCTATTGTTAAAACGTTTTAGATTTAATTACTAGTTTTACATCTGTGATATTCTAGTTGTTTTACTGTCCTTCGTCGGCAGGTTTTTTTATAATATACAAATATTTCATACAATATCAAATTGTTCTCGTCACGATATGGCTGAAATATTGCCGATGTGACGTTAAATATTTACTCACTCACTCACTCACCTGTAGAGCACCGCATCACTTTCAAGACTCTTTCTATCACGTATTCAGCACTAAGTGATGAAAATTCCAAAACTTATATTAAGGACATGTTACATCGCTACCAACCCACAAGAGCTTTAAGATCAGCCAATGATAAACTACTTCATGTTCCTAAAACTTAAACTGAAACAAAGAGCTCCACAACTGTGGATTGCTCTTACCACTGGAAAATCAGAAATCGTCAAACAAAATACTCTTTCCTAACTCATCTGAAGACAGTCATGTTTAATCTGGAAACCAGGCGCTACACAAATCAATTATCATTCACTCACTCACTCATCCTTTCAGATGTTTTGCTAGATTGGTAATAATGTTAGGGTTTGCCGATGACATCAAATATACTCATGCCAATAATGGTTGTCACTCCCTTCAATTTTGTAATTGGAGAGGGGGAATGGGGTGGGGTGGGGAGGTGGGTGACAACCATTATTGGCATGAGTATATTATACACATGGAACGTGGGATGTAAACAAAACCTTGCTTTGATTTTCTTAATCGTAAATAAGCAGGTCATGCTAACAGAAACTGGAATTCAGTTGCAAGGATTACATTTTCTCAAATGTCGGGGTGTTTGAAGCGATAAGGAACCATTTTGAATTTTCACAGCTTATGAAAACCATAAAGTTTGCATATTAGTGACCAGCATGTAAATCACAGTGTCAGATCTGTTGGAATGAGTGAGTGAGTATGATTTTACGCCGCTTTTAGCAATATTCCAGCAACATCACGGCGGGGATCACCAGAAATGGGCTGAACACATTGTACCCATGTGGGGAATCGAGCCCGGGTCTTTAGCGTGACGAGCCGACGCTTTAACCACTAGGCTACCCCACCACCCCAGATCTGTTGGTAGTTGTCCCTCGAACGTTGTAGAAAGAGAGAAGAAATACATTTTTGATCCTGAATCTTTGAAATAAGCGCTTGCCCCTGAGCCCTAATCTACACAAACAATGCCCTAACTTAACCAATGTATCCGAGCTTGCTCGTCACACAAGCACGTCATGAAACATTTCTTTGGTATTCGACACGTGGGTATTGTCAGATCATTTAACCATTACTGAAAACACCTTATTATAGCAAGTGTACCTGATTGTGTACTTATCAGACCCAGATAACGCAATAGCGTACTTCCGCATCGAAGGTAAACATCGTCTGCTACCACATTTACGCTTGAAATCGGGACATTTCTACAAAGGACTGGCTTTAAATCACTAAAGGTAAGTAAATAACAGTAATTGACAGATAAATTGACAGTCTTATGAAAAGTCGTTTTCTTCAGATTGTTAAAACTTTTTTTTCATTATTCATAATTGGATTTAATATGAAACACTCTTCGTTACATTGATGAAGTGATTTTTGAAAATAATCTGGCCATAATACGCTTCCATACTTAGGATCTCCATGTGGATGTTATGCTCATAAAGTGCTGCGCACAATTACTGGACAGCCAGCGATGTAGTCAGAACGCCGGTAGGGTCAACCGTATGGCATAATGCAACGTTAGAATCTTGTTGTCGTCAATAAAACTTACATTTCTAGGTAATTATGATGCATACCAGCATGTTTAGTCACGTAAACCACAAAAAAAGACGTTAGCTGCCGTGTTGCGATCGATGTGCTTAGGTGCGCGGAATTACTGGACGGCATTGTATACCATCCTGGCCTGGTGTTATATCATCTCGTCCTTTTAAGACCAATAATTATAAGGCCTACTGGAAAACCCCATATAGGTGTAATAAGGATCATGTCTGCATCGCCTTTATAGAATTTATATACCATTTTCAATTTCTTTTATTCAGGGTACTGAAGAGGCAACAGGCCTATAGTACAATACAAGTGTGTACAGTTACATAGTATTTAAAAGAAATTTTCTACTGTTGAATCCATGATAGATGTACATTGATATATTTTCATCAATTCGTAGATTTGTTGCTTTCAACAGTAAACTGAATTTATATTCACAGTGATTGGTGCGATAAAATGGGGGTATATATAACATTCTTAAATTGTGAAATTGCGGACAGACTAATATAAAATGACACTCATCTTCTATCATCCCTAAATCACATAACATACACAGTCTATTTTCTCGTGGAACATTATGATATTTGCCCTTTTCTATATTAAATTCATGGGATGTACATCTTAGTCGTGCAGTTGCTGTCCTAAACTTTTTAATGTTAACACCAAGGAGGTAATGCTCTGCTATAAGATCTGATTTAAAAGTGCTATACAATGAGGATTTGGGTGATAGAGTTAGCGAGGCAGTCCAGAGTTGCAAGTACATATCTTTTAACCTTTGTGTTACAGATTTAATAAAAACATATGGGAAGCTTATACAATCAAGTTTAAAAGCATATCCGAATCCACATGTTTCAAGCATATTTCTCACATTTGTTACCCAATTTATCTTACCATTTCTGTCATACATGCACATCATATTGTAACATTTTTTGGGATAACGTGACTGCTGCATATTTACTAACCTTATCCAATATCTTAAAATTTGCTTATATGCTTCAACATATAAAGGGTAACGTCCACATTCTCCATAAACCATGCAGTTAGAAGTACTGTCCTTAACACCTAAAAATCCTTTACATGCATAAAGATGAACCCTTTCTAAAACATTAAAATGTGTAAAACCCCAAACCTCTGAACCATATAACTGAATAGGTTAAATTTTGGAGTCAAATATTTTAAAGAATGTATTATAACTTCCTTCACCAGCCTTCTTCAAATTATGAAATATTCCCATAAGTATTTTCTTACCCTGTAGGGATGTACATGTATGTTCCATGATAAGGTTTTTGAAAAATATACACCTAAATATTTATATACCTTGGCTACTTCTAAATAATTGTCATTTAATGTCCATTTCTCAAAACTTGGATAATTTCCCGCCATTCTTAAAAACCACTATCTTAGTCTTATCTCTATTTATAACTTAAACTTGTTACAATAATCTTCTAAAACAGTAATTTGACGGCCTTTAACAGTGCTAGAAAACATGATAATATCATCGGCAAACAATAGGAGGAATAACTTAACAATGTGAGGATGTAGTTGTATACCATCATTACAATTCTGATGAACAGCGGTAGCGAATTCATTTATAAAGAATGAAAACAAGAATGGGCTCAGAATACATCCTTGGCGACCATCAATATTACAACCAAAAGTTGCTGACAAAACCCCCTTACTCCTACTAATACATCCTTCAACATTGTTATATATGCTTAGTAACATGTTCCTCATTTTATTACTAAGACCATGTGCTGTTAATAGCATCCATAATTTATTTCTATTAACAGAATCAAAGGCTTTAGAAAAATCAACAAAAAGGACATAAAACTTCGAACCTTTACAAGAAAGATATCGCTGTTTGAGGCTGTTTAGGATAAATATACTGACTCAAAAAAGAAACTTCACATTCTTTCCGCAGGGCACTATAAAAGAACAAGAGATGGTAAGAGGGTTAAATTGTTATTATTTCATTGCTGAGAATCTGTGTGCTGTATTGGATTAAGGTCAAGGGACCTCGATGGCCAGTCCATGACGTTGATTCCAGCGTCTTGAAGGAAATTTCGTGTCAACATCGAGGTATGCGGCCGAGCATTATCATGCTGGAACTGTGGACCTAGGCCATGAGCCGCCATGAAAGGAACGAGTTCAGGGTGAGCACCTGGTCGCGGTAAGCAGCAGCAGTGAGGTTTCCACGGATGACCAGAAGTCGGGAAAGGTTGTTCCCACAGAAGGCACCCCACACCATGCAACTTCCGTCCCTGAATCTGTCGGCTTCCTGTACACAACATTGGGCATACCGTTCACGACGTCGTCTCCAGACTCTATGCCTGCCGTCCGCGAAGGGTAAACCTGGATTCATCGCTAAAGAAGACTCGATTCCAGTCTCTTTGGGTCGATCGGAGGTGACGTTGGGCTCACAGCCGACGTTGACGTTGATGAAACGGCGTCAATATTGGCCCACGATATGGACGTCGAGAATGGAGATTGGCAGCCCGCAACCGATTTCGAATGGTCTGTGAGGACAGTCGACCTCTAAACATCTCAGCCCTGGTTCGTGTAGCCGGCAGAAATCTGTCACGTAGGTGACGTAGGACGATTTGACGGTCTTTTGCTCGTGACGTCGTGTTCACGTGGTGCCAGTTTGTTGTAGACGACCTCGCAAGTCATACACAGTACGACGGCTGCATCCCATTGCTCTTGCTACGTCAATAAATGATCTTATCTTCCAACGCTTGCAAAACTTCGATGCGAAGATCACGTGATCGACTGCACGTGCAAAACCTGATTTGACACTAACGTCATTTGCACGACGAATGGATGGGTTTGTGTGGGTTTTGCTAACGTTTTTCTAGAGTCGAAAGATAGGGATCCCATTTCGGATACATAGATGTATCATCAGAGCAAAATTATTCATTATTTTTCAAATTACATTTTGTGACGTTTCTTTTTTGACTCAGTATACATTGTCAGTGGTTGAATAGCCTTCTCTAAAACCTGTTTGAGCTTCATTAATCTTATTTGTAGCATAAGACCAAAATATTAATCTTCTGTTAATGACATACATATATTTTTTACTAAAAAACGCTAAGTAAAGTAATTCCTCGATAATGCTCTCGGTTATTAGGATCACCACTTTTATAGAAAGGAATAATTATACCAACTTCCCACCCTTTGGGAAAATAAGCTTTTTCCAACATTAAATAAAATATAACACATAGATATGTAGATATGACATACGAATATCCTTAGCACATTTAAAGAAATCTGGAATAAGATTGTCTATTCCTGCAGATTTATTTTGTAAGACTACAATTTATAGATTTAGACACTTTACCGACATTTCGTATTAATTTTTAAACACAGAAATTCTGTAGAAATTGTACCTTTCTCTGGAGAGCGTGACATGAGTTCTCTAACGGTGTCAAATCACTATAAAATCAAAAGGGTAGAATGTAAACTAGACCTGAGTGAAACTGTATAAACCAATTAGCCACTCATTTGCTGTCTCATACACTACTTAATTTAACAATTGAAACAGGAACGGGCTCAATAAACAGTCTTAACCTTGTCTTACACCTACAATACAAACCAGTGTACCAGACATGCATCTCTGAAACAGGACAGAATGTTATACGTCTTAAAAATCGACTGCATTTACAGTTTACCCATGTGTGTAAATGCCATAGAAGAGGGCGCTTCGACAGTCAACTGCTTTTTTTAGACATTCATCATGATACCACGAGAAGACCGCATGTCCCACTGCAAATATGTCTTTTAAACTCACAGAGAACTGATAGGATAGCTTCAGTTAGTAACCTCAATCCGGAAGATAAGTCTGAGATGGAAAGCAGTGCTGCGTTTGCTAACCTCTCAATGGTCATGACGAAGCTTCCACTGAGGCTTAATTTCCGCCTAGGAGGTGCTTGTATGGTATCTGTTTGACACTAGGGCTGACAGTGACTATACTGTGACTAATACCACCGGTGACTGTTAAATGCTTAGACTCTGAACATGACATTATACTCATGCCAACTCTTAAAGCAACCTTTATGAATATCCTACAACACGGGTACATTGACTGTGGACTCGTTCGCGTTGCGACACCGGTGACATCAATAACCTGACACACACATACACATTCTGAACGCGGTGGTAAAGTGTGTCAAGGTGCCCAGTTGTCCAAATTGATGTGAACGAATTATGTGAGTGAGTTTAGTTTAACGCCGCTTTTAGCAACATTGCAGCAATATCATGGTGGTGGACACCAGAAATGAGCTTCACACATTGTACTCATGTACAACTCCATTTTCTAACAAACAAATTGAAATTGTACGGTTTGGGCGTAAGCACTGCAGTACTGAACAGTCAAGAATACTCAGTGCTTTATGCAGATGGTCTAATACTTGTTCAAAATCTTGCATAGAACAGTTGTTAATATTCTTTACAATATGGATGTCGACGTGGTGGACCTGTATAATATGTCTAAAATGGAATTTATAATGTTTCACAGTGGATACGATCTTCACATTGTCAGGGAAAAAACTAAAGAATTCTGGAAAGACCGAGGGAAACCTAACGGGAATTAACTCTGTACTTCAAAAGAGTTTAAAAACGTATGAACGGCTGAGCCATATATTACTGAAATTCTGCCTAGATCTCATCGCAGTATCCTTAGTAGGCTACGATGTGGATCCCTACCTTTGGAATTAGAGGTCGGTAGATTTACATGCCCTAAAGACCTTTAGATGATAATATTTGTAGTGATGGCAGTACGATTGAGGACGAAGTTCACATTTTGGTCAGCTGTTCACTATATTCGGATTTACGACATTAACCTTTTCTCTCTCTCTTGTCGCCTACTGACCAGGCCGCATTTATGCTAGGTAATGTTAAATTAATAAAACCCTTAGCTTCATTGGTTACTAAAATGTTTAATAGTTTAATAGTTTGTAGTGCTGCAATTACATATACCGCACTTCACTGTTGCTTATAAAGCTGTGATATTCTATTCACTACGATTCTGCTTCAGGTATAATGTAGTGTCTTGTGTCTCACAGGCCATATGACAGGATGTTATATTTTATTGAGTGTTTGAAGGTGTCTATGTATGTTTTATATATAACATGTGACACACAAACAAAATATTTTCTTGGTTCAGGAGTTAGTTCAAGTGTTGGTTCAGGAGTTAGTTTATTTAGGAATTTACCGCAGGTCATAGGTCCATATGTTCTCTGCATGGTCGGCTAAATGTTAACACCTTGCATTCTTAAGCAGAATTTGTAACAATGTATGACAATGTATGCAATAGAGCTATATTCACTCAGCTGATGTATTTACTCTCGTTTGAAGTAGTTAATTTGATGTATATAAATTCGACATCTAGAAATTGCAATGGTTCCGAACACCTTAGAAAGTCAGGTTTTATTTTCAAACATTTGAACACCGTTTATGATATTGATTAGCCAGATAACATTTTAAGCGTAAAATCAATTGAGAGCTTTGGGATAGTTTAAACTGATGTAACATATTATGTGATATCAAGGGAAACATAATGCCAACCCTATTGTGGATGTGTGAACACCTTCAATAGAAGACTGAGGACCTGACAATGCCGTGGTGGTCATTACGAACAGTTCTTAATGCTGTCAACTAAGTCACCGAGTCTACACACTCGGGCCCTACTCTGTTTAAAATGTGTGGAATATTTGCAATATTTATGAAAAAATTGAGTTATGTTTCAGAAACTGTGAAATATGGCCTAAAGTTCTACATGTAACTTTTCGGGTTTTTTATCAGTGAACTTGCTACGCAAGTTGCGATTGCTAAACAGCTTCCTCCAGTTATTAAGATACTTAGATTGCCGTTTGCTAATGATATATAGCTGTAGGTAAGTTTTAAAGTACTATAAAAGGTTTGCAAAAGTTGATACCTCAAATGGAGCTCTGAAGTTCATACTGTAAACTCCCTGTAAACACTTTTAGGTTGTCAATAGGACACAACTATCAAGCAGGGATAAGATATACTTCACCTAACAACCGATACAAATTGCCACTTCTTATGAATACCTTTGGGGCACTCTCATTGGCGTCGAAATGTCTCTCTTGTAATACAGTAATATAAACAAAAACAATGGTATCTAACAGGGCTTAATTACATTCAATTGTCTTTTGGAACATTTATCTGCAAATATTTGACACACAAATTACTCATACTCGTTTTTCAATGGCGCATCGATCGAGTGTTATGGATTGCTTTGTGAGTGGACAATTTAGATACACTAATTAAAGACTTATGATCAAGTTGGCAGACATAGATACATAGCTACCAAATTGAAGATTTGTGAGGAATCTGATATACATGTGATCGAAGATAACTTTCCTGTTACTTCGTACACAATACAGCTTTCTGCAGAGTAAATATTTAGACCTGCCTTACTCGCCCAGACGTTCGTGCAAACAACATAATCTTTAAAAACCTATCAACGTCCATTTATTTGTTTTGTTTAGTTTATTAAGCAGTAAACAAGGCCTCCACCCGTAAGTACATGTGTTGATATTTCATGAAACATTAAACATCACCCATATACACATATATGTTTATATTCATTCAACAACAGTCATCATGTCGGTATGAATCCATTCCTCGCGACCAATCTTACACGCATAGACACACGCATGACATACAGTGCCTTTCAGTACCCAACATTTCACACAGGTTCACGGCTGAAATATTTTACGTGCGCCTCATAGAATGAGTTCTCTCCCTTGTTAAACATCATTTAAAATGACTTGCTCCCTAGTATTGCCTTGATTGCCTAAGTGAGTACTACTTATTTTAGTGACCTGTTTATGTTGAAGCTGCTCTTTCATTTGTCTGCAGGTGCCCTTTAGTTTATTTCTTGACCTTCTATACTGTTGGAAATCACTATTCATGTTGATTGCTCTGAACTTCTCAAGAAGTTTGTACTTCTCCGATTTAATGATCTCACTTTCCTTGTCCCACTCTGTTTCTGATTTGCATGCCACTGGATATTGCAGCCTCGCTTATAGAGCTGGACAGTATATGTGCAGCTTCACCAACATTACCCTCTTCCACAAGAGTGTTAAACTCATTACAACACTGAGTCCATATGTTCTTCGGACATACTCCTGGTGAGCAGATTGTCTCCATTCTAAGCTATTCCCGGGACCAACGCTACCCCATCGATTACACATGTCAAATGGACAAGAATGTATTCATTTCATGCAGGTCTATATTTTTAATCAAGAGACGAGGAAGGCGAGTCATTGAACTTGGTCCTTTTCTTCTTCTTCTTTTAAATCTAGAATAGCCACCCAAACAATGGGAAAATAAGTTGTTTCATTTGTTCAAAATGGTATTCGTATAGCTACTCAAAGTTGTCTCTTACTTCTACCTTGACATCCAACTGAGTGACTCCCCGAAAAGCCCATACATATCAAAACCTGGACAACTGGAAAACATGCGCCTAATGCACAGTCGTAAAATGTTTTAAAGTGCCAGTTTGTGCCAAATGTTGTGTCCGAATGAAGTTTGTGCTTCTCTATACAATGTG